TACAAGGAGATGAAGAGGAAGGGAATAAAGTTGGATACAGTTGCTTATAATATTGTAATTCGTGCTATTAGTCTCTCAGAGGGTGTGGATTTTGGAATTGGAGTGTTTCATGAGATGAGGGAGTTGGGTTTTGAGCCAAGTGTAGCAACTTATAATGCGATACTGAAACTTTTGTGTGAGTGTGGGAGAGTTAGGGACGCATACTCATTGTTTGATCAAATGCTTAAGAAGGGTTATGAGCCAAATGTGTTAACATATCATTGTTTCTTTGCTTGTCTTGAGAAGCCTAGAGAGATTCTTATGCTCTTTGATAGGATGATTGAGTATGGGTTTCAACCAATTATGGACACTTATGTGATGCTTATGCGGAAATTTTGCAGATGGGGATTTCTTCGACCAGTTTTAATGGTTTGGAAGAAGATGGAAGAATTAGGGGATAGTCCCAATGAGTTCGCTTACAATGCTTTGATTGATGCTTTAATTGATAAAGGCATGTTAGATATGGCCAGGAAGTACGATGAAGAAATGTTAGCCAAAGGGCTTTCCCCTAAGCCTAGGGAAGAGTTGGGTATGAAGCTGGTACAAGGAGAACCGGTGGGTGGCTAGTCTTAATTCTGACAACTTATACTGGCCATGGGGCAATTTCTTCTCAGTTCCATTCTGATATTAATAGTAGCCCACATGGATCCCAAACAAGATTAAATTTTTTACTCTCCTCTGTAAGATGAAGGTTTATACATCTCAGGTACTTGCCATTCCCTCAGTCTCTCCTCCACGCATATGTTCTGCTGATGCTTTGAATTTTGTTAAGTATTCCACTGCTAATGATGAGCAAAAACAATGTGGAGGCAGTACTTTAATTAGTCAAAAGGCTTCAAAACTCTGTCCATTTGACATAAAATGGTGCTTAGGAGCAAACAGATCAATACATGGATAAAAGCATGACTGCTTCCATAATCCGTATATTTGTATATATTTGTTTCTTCTCTACACATGCAAGGATATATTTGCATATGAAGATTCATTAATTATGCTATATTATTTTATGAGTATTGTGAATAGAGAAACAGGCATTACTGGTCCGAGTGGAAGGAGCTCGGTTCCCTTAAGCAAGGTATTGACTTTGAATCTTGTGAATGAAAAAATAAGCGTTGGATAACTTCCCCCTTGTGGAGTCTGACCCGGTTCAATTTCGGATTAGTCGGAATCCAAAGTGGTTACTGGATATCGAGAGGTTAATACAAAAAAAAAAATTATGCTATATTATTTTATGAGTATTGTGAATAGAGAAACAGGCATTGCTGGTTTGAGTGGAAGGAGCTCGGTTCCCTTTAAGCAAGGTATTGACTTCGAATCTTGTGAATGGAGAAATAAGCGTTGGAGAACTTCCCCCTTGTGGGGTCCGACCCGGTTCGATTCCGGATTAGTCGGAATCCAAAGTGGTTACAGGATACTGGAAGGTTAATACAAAAAAAAAAAAAAAATTATGCTACATTATTTTATGAGTATGAGAGTAATATGCATTGTATATACATGTAGCCAGCAATTTGGTTAACTTAGACATGGTCCTCCAACTTGTGTGACCATAAACTTCTGTAGTTTGCTGCTCTATGCTATGTATGTGAACGGATAAAGGGTAGGTATAGAAATTTGTCAATGCTTAAGTTTTAGAGAAACAAATTACGGTTATGAATGTGGTACAACAGGGTTTTTCATTTTGTATGACTGCTCTCTTTCAGTTTATATATGAAGGATGTTGCAATTTTCAGTATAAGTTTATAGCTCTAAGTTCTACGTGGCTGGTATATTCATTTTGTTGGAGACTCATGATTTTAATCTATATATAATGGTAATTATCCTAGTGGAGTTTTATCTTGAGTTCTTATGATTGTTAAAAACAAAAAGGAAAAGAAAAGCATTCTAGAATGCACAGATAATAGTTGGAGTCAATTTTAAGGTGTTCTTGGATCTAGAAGAAGGAACATGGAAGTAGAAAAGGACAGCAGAAAATAAAGAGAAGATGAACATTCAAACTTCAAAATTCTGCTTGAATGAAAAATGATCAGATATATTGAGAATTTAGTTATTAATTGTGAAACTGGATTCTTTCTGGCAACGGGAGTTGAGATTTAGGTTTCTGAAGTACTTGATTGACAATTTAATTTCCACATATCTTCATTGAGATTCTGATCTTTGTTACTGTGGTTTTACTACTCTTCCATTCCCTGGTTGGGTACTGGGTACATGAAGCATAAGGATGTAGTCCTACTGTCCTAGATAGAATGATGCCAAGCTAGGGAGTGTTCCCATAAGCTGTTTGACTAACTGAAAGATTTGCTTCTGCCATACGCTCTGGAGACTGGTTGCGAACTGGCTATTGGAAGTACCACGTTTTTTTTGGAGCATCTCAAAGGAAGTCTGTATTTCAAAAAGCTGTCGATACAAAAGCAAGGACCAATGCACATGTGAAAATACTAAGTACATGGTATAAATCTTCTAGATGGGATAAGATTCATGGCACTAAATTTATATTCTTTAACACTTGTCTACGAGTGTCAAAATTGTAAGGAAACAGAGAAAACTTTGTCACGAGGGAAAGCGATAAAAAGTGAGGCGGAAAGATAAAACCGCACATGCATTCACTTTTGGCCCTTGATACTAGAAGAATCTCTAGTTTCTTTATATAGAAACCGCCGTCTTTTTGAGAACATTATTCATGCAGTCTCTCATTTTATGCTTAAAAATTTAAAATACCCACCACTTGAATCCCTTTGACCCTTTACATGTTGGCTTCCACTCACATGAATCTTTATGGTCGGCTAATTATCATGAATCCTCATATTCTTCATTGAACATATACTTGATTATTAAGTCACAACTACTATATATGATCACTTTCAGTTTACTTCATCCATCAGTCCTGCTAAAACAAAGATACATGGAATCAACAGCTTCGTCAATACCCCAACAGCAACAAGGACAGTTCGTGGCTAATGTTGAGCCTATGTCAAGCAGTTCTTCAGGGTCTATCGGGCCATTCTTTGCCGTTATATCAGTCCTAGCAATTCTTACCATAGTTTCTTGTGTGGTGGGGAGAATATGCAGCAGGCGCGATGCAATAACACCATTGGATAGTATCAAGCATGGAGGGTGTTGGGGATGGGTGAAGGGAAGGTGCTGGCGGGTGAATGATATTGATGAGGCACAAGCATGAAAAGTAGATGGAATGGTAATCTTGATTTTGTACTGAGATTGATTCCTGTGCGAATGAATTTCTATTTATAAAAATCGAGTTTTGTAAGTTAGTTAGGAATGGTGATCTTCATTTCAATCCAAACTAAAATACAGCATTCTGGTTTTTTGGTTACATATCAAATTCAATAAATTTTAGAGCTATTTGGTATTTCCGTATGAAATTAGCTTCCGGTTTTAAGGAGGCAAAACTCACACCCACAATAAACTAATCGAACACCTCCCTTCCAAGATTACCACTTTCCAAAATCCCCATCCCCCACAACCGCGGCAGCCGCATCCGCCGCCGGTAACCACCGCATTCTGATTGTTGTTTCGTTTTCTCCAATTTGATCTTGTGTTGTTTCATTTTCTTCAAAATGACCGGATTTCAAGATGAACAACTCAGCCAATTAAAGGAGATATTCGCAAGATTCGACTTGGATTCCGACGGTGGCCTCACTATCCTAGAGCTGGCGGCGCTATTGAGATCGCTGGGGCTCAAGCCCTGCGGCGACGACCTCCACGTCCTCTTGGCCAACATGGACATCAACGGCAATGGCTTCGTGGAATTCGACGAACTAGTAAATGCGATGACCGATTTGCCTGAATTGAAGCAAGAGATTTTGAGAAATCAGGAGCATCTCGCTGAGGCTTTCAGCTTGTTTGATCGCGACGGTAATGGCTACATTACGGCCGCCGAACTCGCAGGCGCAATGGCAAAAATGGGACAGCCGTTGACGTACAAGGAGCTAACGGAGATGATCAGAGAGGCGGATTGCGACGGTGATGGTATGATTAACTTCGACGAATTTGCCTCCGTGATGACAAAATCCGCCCCGGAGTATCTGAGCATTGCTCTATCGTCATGATCCAAAACAAAAATTCAAAATTGAGGGTAATTAATTTCTAATTATAATTAATTCACTAATTTTTAGAATTGATTTGGCAAGTTATGGGAATGTTGAAATTTACCAATGTTTTCTGTTTCGTTTTATTCTGGATTGATTCAATTTGGGAAATTTGACGTAATGTAAAGAGCAATGTGTTCTTTTCTATGTAAATAACCTTTTCAAAATGAAAACAGGCGAGGTAGAATTAGAAAAGGAGAAGATTATTCCTGTTACATAGCACGTTATCATGCTTGTATTAAACAATAGAATTGCCATTGGTTTTTCAGAGAAAAATCAAAAGAACCTCCAAAATTGATGATGTTTATGTGTACATTCGTATACGTATAAAGTAAATTACAAAACAATGGGAATAGAAATTTGATATGGCTTGAATAAATCTAGCATTTTATGCCACCGAAGGAAGGAAAAAGATTGAAATGCATACTCTTCCAGGCTTGGAGCTACCGTTTGTTAAAAATCTCGAGAAAATGATAAAAAAGGATGATTGTTAAAGATACTCAAGCTGCTCCCTTGAGTGTTGGGATTTTGATTCAAAACGTGCAGTGAAACCTACTGTTGTGGGGCGCAGGGATCTCTGCCGCACCATCGCACAGAACTCAGGATCATCTGATTGACCATCGGCTAGTATCCACTGTATCATCTGGTGATGCAGGGGGAAAAACCGCATTTGAATGGCTGAGTACAGGAAGTATGGTAGCAGCGAGGAGATCAGCACAAAGAGGGTGAGGAGCCAGAAAGATGGTGCAGGTGCACATGCCTCAATGAAAACCTGGTAGGCAGTTGTTGATATGTAAGGGTCCATGGCTCCATAGGCCAAGAGGAAGATGTACCAGAATATGATGCTAGCCCAAATGAAGAGATGTTGTATGTATGTGAAGTAATTGATGGATAGTGCCATTTGGCAGTTAACCACCCACACCACACATGTATACATGGCAGTCCCGAGGGTTTCCAGGCCAACAATTTCACCACCTTTACGAAAGGTTTGATACTCCATTGCTTGGATGCAGAAGAAGAAGATGACAGTAGCACTCAGTACCCCGTTTAATGCCCATCCGAGGATTCTAGACCAACTAAAGAGGAGGTTCTGCACACCTTCTTGGTATAATAGAGGAAACTGTGACATAAGGAGAGCAGTGAGATACAACAGAATGGCATTTAATTACTCTTATTGACTAGCCTTGATTAGAACTTAGCACCCATGCTGAAATAGCCTGTTTTTCAGATGAGGAGAATAAGAGCATGGTAGAAGATATACCTTCAGACACAATTGAGCAGAGACATCTTGGTCGAAAACTCCAAGAGCTATCACGGGAAGTGAGGTGAAGAAGACATTATAGAATGACAGATACCAGTCATTGTATTCAGTTTGTCCTGAGAACGATGCATACGCCTCAAAGAAGAAGAGAGTAAAACCAAATGCAATATTCTTGTAGAAGAAATAGGATATCTGTCAAACAACAAAAAATCTGTCAAATATATTCATTTCAATTTTATTTGAACTTATTTTAAAACTTGTATATCTGTGTCTCAAAACCATTTTTCTAAGTTCATGGTGGTACCAAAACTAAGAATTTCACCTCATCACATTTTCCATTTAAAAATATCGTTACTTTGATCAAAGACTAGAATTCGACTCTTCAAGTGAAAGTATTAATTGTTACCATTGTTGACATCCTTCTGTAACACCAATGTCCATGCACAAGAAGCAAGCGCTCCAAAAACCGGAACTGGGCAATTGCAATATCACTCGACATCACTGCCTGAAATTTCAGAAGTCAGTATTCAAAGCAAGAACCTAGAATGTATCAAGTGAAAACAAATGCAGGATGGAAATTAACACAATGCACAAACATCTATATAGGATTCACCTGCATTCCCTCCACACCACTGATACCAATTCCAATATCTGCTTCTTGAAGCATCCCAACGTCATTTGCCCCATCACCAATCGCTAGAGTTGTCATTCCTGTTTTAATCTTGACCAATCTTGTAACCTGCATTTTTTGGTATTTAGATGGAATTCCGTGTGACCACTAGATGGAAGTATAGTTCAGATGCTACAAAGGTCTAACAAGAAAAACATCTAGGGAAGTCATGTTATTACTTAATATAGGACAATTATTCATCCCTAGTCTAAAGCAATTTTGGAGAAGTGAACTTCAAAAGTTTTATGTCAGTTGATTGAAAACTTCATCTAATGATTTCTTCTGTCAAAACATGTCATATAGAGGGGTGATAAGGCACAGGGCTTGTTTTCATGTTGTGATGGAAGCAGTGTTAATTCCATTTGAAGTGAGAAAACAACTTACTAGTGCTTTCTGTTTGGGAGATGAACGACAGCAAATAACAGATGCACAGCCAATTGCAAGTTCCAGGAAAATGTCTTTGACATCATCTTCTAGGGCATGAGTGAGTGACTTTCCATCAATGATCAAAGCCAATGCTTCCAAACTTTCATTTGAAGCAGCAAGCAGCTCTTTACCCTCGTTTATCTGACGAATAACACTTGCCTTAAATGCCTACAAAATTGACAAGTTCCTGTCAAGTCTGCACATGACAGTCCAATTTTATATTGGCCATGGCATGATAAAGAGAGGCTGAATCATTTTTCAGATAATATCCATTAATGCAATCCATGCAATTTTCAACAAATAACTTCAATGTGTGTGTGTGTGCAAGGGAGGGATCTCTAATACCTCAGCAGCAGCAGAACTTTCCCCTGATTTTTCAAATGCCTTGTTTTCTGGTGTCTCTGAGTTGATTAGTATTTGCTTCATGCCTTGTCTAAGCAAACTACATGCATAGCTGCAAGATTTAACATAGAGGATGAAAGATGTCAGCACATCAAAATTCACACCTGATGTTGCGGAGAGAGTTTGATGAGCATACCCAATGTTGATTGCTGTCTCCATCTTGTCTCCAGTCAAAACCCAGATTTTGATTCCAGCTTGTGCAAGCTTGTCAATGCATTCAGGAACCTGTCAAGGACAAAGAAGAAATACTGAATCTCAAGCCTTGTAGTTGATGATAAAAAAGGTAATGGAATCTTCCACTACTTCAGCATGTCATGAAAAAAGAACAACTCCTTTGCTTTTCAAGGCATTTGTAGACCAGTACATCTTTCCTAAACTTGTAAAGACAGTTATTTCTATGATTAAGGGTTTTAAAGTGAAATGATAAAAAGTCAATGTGCTAAATGGGTGATTATGCTCCTACTTTTTGAGTGTGTTTATTAAACCTACCCCACTCTGAAGTTTGTCTTCAACAGCTGTACTCCCGAGAAGAATCAAATCCTTCTCAATCTTTTCTGCCACTGACTCAACCATTTCATCACGATCTGCACTCACTGAATTCTTGGCCTGTGTGAACTCTTCATTGAATGCAACATATTCTTCCTCATCTATTTCACGGTATGCAAGTACCATAGTCCTCAAACCAGCATCAGCATACTCATTGATATGCACCTTGGTCTGCTCTGCAAACTCTTGTCCATGCTTTGCAAGTCTTTCAAACATGACACTGCTTGCCCAGGGAAAGAAAATGAAACTTAATAAAAAAAAAAAAAAAGCTTTAATACATCTAGATTGCAAAGAACTACAAGGTAAAAAGTACTTAGTCAAGATCTACAGATCACAGACATTCCTCTTCCCTTAGTCATGATCAAAAACGGCATGCCACCTACTGATCTGAATAATCAAATTGTGCAACCTTCCCACCTATTGTTCTATTGCATTAACAAAATAAAGACATTTGAATGATTCACATGCACTGCCACATACACATAGTAAAGGAGACATTCTCCCTAACCGCTAACTGCATTAAAGAAAAAAAGACTTATGAACAGATTCATACGCACTGCCAAATACTAGAGGAGACACATTCCCCAAACCACTAATTTGCATTTCCTGGTGCTATGGTGTCCTCACACTTGCTATTAATCTTTTTATAGGATTACAAACTTGTACTAACCTGTCAGCACCTTTACAAAGTAGTAGCAACTTTCCCTCTTCTGTCCTTACAATCACAGACATCCGCTTTCTTGAGCTACTAAACTCCAAGACATTCAATAGTTTATAAGAACTGCAAAAGAAGGAAACATATACTAAATTTTCTTGATTATATATATGAAAAATCAAGCTATTAAAGCTAAAGAATCAATTGATAAAGTCTATGCAGTCTGTGAGCACGTAAAGTTGATAATTTGGAGTTCCTTGGAATAAATCCAATCCCCATTAATATTAAAGTTAATGGATGTATAATACCAAAAAAAAAGAAAAAATTACCTGTCAATTGTTTTTCCAGATACTGGATCTAACTCATGCAGTGAAATGCTTTTTTGTGTCCTTTCATAAAACTCAAATCCAAGTTCTCTAGCTGCTATCACAAATGCTGCCTCATCTGGTGATTCAGCTTCATATGAAGTTCTTCCAGTTTCTTCATCAATTTCAGGTATTGCAGTGTGACAGATAGCCAATAAACGTAGGAAATTCTGGATTACATCTGCATGAGGTTCATTGATCCAACTACCATTCATGATTCTTTCATCCACAAAGTTGAACCCCTTAACAGATGGTTTCTCTTCCTTAGCCTCTTCTAGATGGCCCTCTATTTCTGTCACCTCTTGAGATAAAGATGAACCTTTTCTTGTGGCTAGAGCTTTCTCAACTTCAGTTACACCGCAGCCATAAGATATTCCAGCAATGGAACACTTGATAAATTCCATGGAGTTGCAAGTCAATGTTCCTGTTTTATCTGAAAGAATAGTGTCAACCTCACCAAGTTCTTCATTTAGATTTGAGGTACGGGCATGTGCTGGTTTATCAGCTTCTTCATAGTACATTTGCACATCTTGATTGATGAAAACACTCTGGAGAACCTTGACAATTTCTATAGACACATACAAGGAAATGGGAATCAAATATGAATACAGCATGAGATCAGTCAAAAATTGCAAGATTGCTGCAATTCCTGCTCTTTTGGGGTCATAGTAAATTGTAGTATCATCTGGTCTAAGGTACCATCTGGTCATCCATCCGTTCCCCAGATCCTTGCTAGTGTCAATTCCAAAAATGATTGACCCAATAAGAGACATCAGAACTAAGACAGCAAACAGAAAGTACACAATCTTATCTGTCCGCCTCTCAATCTTGCTTCTCTTGGAAGGAGGCGGTGTTGAATTTTGCATGACTTTTGTGTCATGACCTGTAAAGACAACTACACCAAAAATATAGTCTGTGTTTCTAAGTTTGGAGTCTCTTAGCAGAAGTTGCTGAGGAGAAAGAGGATATTGTTCTTCTCCAAGTTCCAAACTGCCAATAAAAGAGTATAAATTTGCATTTGGATCTTCACATCTAACCAGAGCCTTGAAATTCTGGAATCTGAAGTCATCTTGAAAACTTGAAGTTGCTTCCAATCCTTGTTTTAATTTCAAATTGGTTTCCCCATCAAGGTTTGTAGTCTCAACATAGCATATTGCATCCTCATAACTTGATGAAAGCAAGATGAGGTCTGCAGGAAAAAATTCATCCCTCTCCACCTTTACTATGTCTCCAACTTTCAAATCCATCCATCTAGTATCATAAAAGATGCCACCACGATGCGCTTTAACTTTTCTGTTATTCATTTCAATATCCTGTTACATCACCAGTAACAATAACATGAAATGAATGCAAGGAAAAACGTAATAAAATGATCAAAAAATATACATACAGCAGCATTATAAAGAGAAAAATTAATGAAACACTATCAAATCACCAAAAGAATGAGTCTTTTATTGTTAAACATGAATGTAGCATTTTCTCTACATGTTCATCTATCAGGGATATATGCAAGACTATGTTAGACATGGAATAGCAATGCAAGGAACTGAAATACTTCCAAAAAGTTCCAATAAACAGGTTAACAACCAGCCCTTTGTAGATTTGAAAATTTAGAGATCTTCCATTTATTGCATCATCTAAGATTCAGAAGGACTTCAGTAAATAAAACATTCAGAATCAACCCTTCATTTGCTAAGTGCACGGTATCCAATTTATACATTCATCACACTGCAAGTTACCAAAAAAGGGAAGCATTAAAGCTGCCATTAGTCTGTTAAAGGTGTTTACCTGCCTCTTCCGCCTCCAATCTTCAACAATCTCCTTCCCCATTGTGGCTCCAATCACAACTACTAACGGTAGAACAGTACTGACAGCTGAGTAAGGAGACAATGGTGTGAAAGACAGTATTGCACAGAGGAGGAAATAAACATTGGCAGCCCTCCTGAATTGCTCAAACAATGATTTTGGGAGGAAAGTAGCAATTGTATACTTAGTGGTTCTAACATGGTTGCCGGTATATTTCACGGGAAGGGCCTCATAGGCTTCAGGGTCATTGCAATAGACTACCCTTGAGAAACCAGGCCCCCCAACCAGTGAATGCTCACCTCTGAATGATGTTTTCCCAGAAGAAAAGGAATGTATTCTGCCCAATTGCTGCTTCTTTCTTCTACCATTAGCCATTCTTTCCAAGTATCACTTCTCCAGAAGCAGATACTTGCTGAGAACGGCAAAATAGAAATGTATCTAAACCAGGTATCAACCAGACATCTAGCAAAACAAAAACCAGAAAATGTACCCCCAAAATTCTCCTCACAAAGAGGAAATGAGGAGGGAAGAAAAATTCAGGGAGCGGATCACTATGAGAGCGAAGGGGGAACTAAACAGCATAAGAATTGGATGCAATGCATATGGCATTGGTGTTCTACCTCAAACAGTTCAAACCGAAAAACCAAATGCTATTATGCTACTGCCCTAGAAACACTATGCATAATCAGAAAAATATCATATTTTTCTTTAATGGAGATCCAAGAGGACAAAAGGTAGTAATACAAAGTAAGTTAGGTTTTTCCGTGGTTCCATTGGTAGATGCTTGTAAACCTGACCAACTACTCTGCTTTGACTAGTAGTTACTATATAAAAGGCAATTCAGAAACGTGTATTGCTTTTCCATCTTGTAACACAAACTACCAGACTCAACTACTTCAATACTCAACTGGACTTCACCCCAATAACGGTATTCAGAAGGTGAAGAGGAAGAAAAAAGAAGGTAAAATCTGCCCACCGGAGAGTCAAATCAGATAAAAATGGTAACTTTGCTGGTTTTTATCAACAGTTAAAAGAGTTGAAAAATACCCAAGGCTAAGAAGTGGGTTAAATAGGATAAATATTAGAAACTACTATACTTTGAGTGCTAATTAAGTATTTATGTGAAACAGCTCACTCCAACCTAGTGGCATGTAGTTTGGTTTAGACCATTCACCTCTGTGGCTAACGAGTTTGAACCCCACGGATTTCCTTTCTCCTGTAGACAAAAAATTTAAGTATTTATGTGTTCTAGAAGGTCTACCATGAAAGAAAAGGGGTACTCTAGAAGGTCAATAAAGAGGGGCAAAGAACAGGAAAAAGGACCAGAAACTCACAAAGAATGGAATTTCAGCAAGATTGGTGTATAGTTTGAGCACATTCACTCCTAATATTCAAGAGAAAAAGGCTGTGAATTGCTCCCATGTGGAGGGTGGATAAGTACAGACACCATGAGCTCGGTGGAAACATGACTTAGAAATTTATAATTTTGATGTTGTCAGAGAATCAGTTTGAAAGGCAGTTGACACGCAGAGATAGAGAGTGGGAGGAGCAGAGATTTGTTAAATATGAAAAATTGTTAGGCAAAATGTGTTCTAAAGATGAGGCAACTTGTTTGGACATGAATAGTCTCCAAACAGAACCCTTAAAAATCCCATGGTTTGTTAAATGTGAAAAATTGTTTGGCAGAAAGTGTGCTGAAGATGAGGCAGCTTGTTCGGACATGAATGGTCACCAAACAGAGCACTTAAAAATCACACCCTTTAGTATTTTTCTTTTCTTTTCTCTTTTTTTTTTTTATTCTTCATTTTTTAGAAAAGAAAAAAAATGGATAGAAGAAAAAAATGTCCTATCTTTCAATTCAAATGTCCTATCTTTCAATTCCTGGAAAGCAAAATACTATCAAATTTCCTTTTCTTAAAATTCTATCAAGTTTCTTTGAAAGAAGGGGGCAATGCTTAGCTTTTGAAAATATTAAATTTGTTCATTCGTTGTGTACAACCATTAGTCCTCACGTTGTGCCCTTTGGTAGGTGGATACTCCTAACTAAAGGTAGATGGACTCTCATATGCTGCTGTTTGGTGAAGAGGTATGGTCGTACGAGTATTTATTACCAATTTATTATCGCATTACTCTTAGAAATGTGTTCTTTTCTACTCTACTTTAATTTTTAATTAAAAAAATTCTTCTAAATTTTTTTTTTTTTTTTCCCGCCCAGGCTTCGCCTCGACTAATTCGGACCCGACCCGCGTCGCGCACCTGGAAATGGTGGGTAAATCTCCCAGCGAGGGCGAGGGCTGCTGCATACACAGGGCTCGAACTCGAGACCTTACTTAAGTTAGAACAAACCGCTTACCACTTGATCCAACCTCTCGTTGGTCTAAATTATTTTTTTTTTCAATATCCTATGGTATGTTTAGGTAAGTAAATGAATTTCGAGAAAAATAATTTTTTTATCAGATGCCTATAAGCACATATTAAAAATATATTAATTATATTTTTTCATATTAATTGTTATTGAAAAAATAAAAGTTAACTTTAATTTTAACAATTAATTAATTAAAATCAAACATGTATTATTAATGTTGAAAATAAAGTTCTTTTTGGTGTTTCCTATACATATTAATAAAAA